AAAAAAAATAGATTTAATAGCTTTGTTTAGTCATTTTTAACAAACTACATCCAATCGCAGGAAATAAAGCGCTTATTTTGATAGATTTTTTAACTAATTTTACAAATAATATCATAGTTATAGTATATAGTAATATCGTTCTTATTCAGAAGTCCTCAATGGTAAGCATTCGAGGATTTTGGATATAAAAAAAATATATATATGTTAATGTGGAGTAATGTGTGATCATTGTTTGTCAGGCCTTCGGGAGCTGGAATTTTATTTTTTTAAATACTCAGGAACACTATTCAGTTCTCAAAGGATTCACAAATGCGTTAGAGGGACAAACAAAGGTAGCAAACCACCCTGAGGTGATTCATAAGGAAGTTCTAGTCAAAAAAAGAAGAAAAAAAGGATGAATAATCGCAGATGCTTCGACCTCCAAGCAAAAGAGGAAGCGTGTTGTATGTTGTATTTTACATGTTGCACGTGTAAAATACAACATACAAAACACACAGGCCTCTCAAAACAGGTAAAATCCAACAAGGGGAGGAATCATGCAGTGTAACATCCAGCTGTTCGTCCACATGCTGGTTGGAGGAGCTGAACGAGGAGGCTCCTAACCAGAGTTTCTGTATAAATATTTCAAAAGCAACTTCACACCTACAAAAGAAAAAAAATGTAACCGCGACGAGATTAAACTGAAGCTGCTCCGCCTGGTTTTTACACGTTAGAAGCCCCCCAACACACAGACACACACAGACACACACAAACTAACTGTGCGCGCCGATCTCTAAAAAGGTAAAAAAAAGAGAGAAACGAGCGGTTTGAGGGAGCACTTGACTCTTCTCCCGGCTGATGCTGTTTGGTCAGCGTTGCTAGGCAACAGGGCTGCTCTCGTAGGTAGAGAGGCACATGAAGAGTCATCAGTTCTGCCTGCAGCGCCGAGAGGCAACACACACACGCACGTACACGTACACACACACACACACACACGCACGTACACACACACACGCACGTGCACACACACGTGCACGCGCACGTGCACACAAACACACAGCGAATCGTGTGCCAATCCCAGGTGAGGACAGCTAAGAGTCTGCGGTTTTGGCAGCGAGCCCACTCCAGCCCCGTGCCCGTGCACGTGCATGCCCGTGCCCGTGCCCGTGCCCGTGCACGTGCACGCTGTGGTCGTGACTCGCTCAAATCGAGGATGCTTTGCACGCAGCAGCAGATGGGACTGAGTCCGGCCGGGATCTGAACAGCCAGGGTCACCACGGGGTCAAACGCACGTCCAGAGTTTTGTAATTCTGGACAGTTTCTGTAATTCTTCCTGGTTTCGACGCACGGGAGTTTGGAGTTAGCTCAGGGAAGAGTAGGCCGCTCAGAGGAAGCATCAGATCCTACACTGGGTCGATGGAAGAGGGAGCCTCATGCTTCAGGGTTTAGAAGCTAATATTAATCACCACTTCGGCCCGTCCATTAATGTAAAAGCACGTGTGGATCTGCCTGATAAACGCCTGTCGAAGTGGAAAAGGTGACTCCACAGAAAACATTCAAGGTTGGTAGCATGGTGCTCATCTCAATTTATAGAAATCCACCTATGGAAAATCAGCCAAGAGCAACGCCGCCATTAGGAGAGGTAGCAGTGGCAGGACCTAAACTGTGGAACTCTCTGCCCACTGAGTTACGTTTATTCACTGACCTGCCTCTGTTCAAAGCTAAACTTAAAACACATTTGTACAGAATGGCGTTTTACACTTAAAATCACTGTAAACTGTGTTCTTTCTTTCACCAATGCATTTGTCTTTGTATATTTTGATTGTTTGATCTGTTTTAATTACTGTAAAGCACTTTGGTCAGCTCTGGTTGTTGTAAAGTGCTATATAAATAAACATTGATTGATTGATTGATTGATTGATTGATTGATTGATTGATTGATTGATTGATTGATTGATTGACTGATTGATTGACTGATTGATTGATAGGTAATGATTTTCTCTCTCTTTTTTTCCCCTTCTTCTTCTTCTTCTTCTTCCTCTTCCTGGCACACAAACCAGGAGCGAGGACACTGTGCTACTTCTACGGCGTCTAATTTATGCCACACATTTCCCCCCCAAACAAACAGAGGGGGGGACACAAAAGCCGGCCGGCCTTCTGCGGCCCTCCTGTTATTGGTCAATTAAAACACCTGACGGCCATTTTAAAAGACAATGCGGTCTTTGTTTTGTTTCAGGCACTTGTTTGTTTGGTTTTTTTTGGGGGGGGGGCTTGATTCTGGTTCTTTAACACGTGATTTGATTGGCTTTACGTTCATCGCACTCACATGGCGTAGCGGTGCTCTTTCACCTGAACATCCCTGTTTCTTTTAGGGTTGTAAAAAGTATTAATACTCAAAAAAGAATCAACACTAAAACGTATCTGGATACGATACTCATTTTCAAAAGTATTGATACCATCCCCGAACCTGTCGCTGTGCCCCTTCTCTCTGATCTATTTATTTATTTATTTAATTATGTTGTTGTTTATGATCATTAACTTGACATTAGCCTTGAACTGCTAGCTGTGGCTAATAGCAAATAATAACACACCAACACTAATGTGGGCCACCGGCCACTATAACATCAGTAACAGGTCAGTTTGAAACCAAAGACGAAATTCTGTTAAATTTCGGGGTCTTTGTTTTTATCCTTGTGGTATCGAAACTGGTATCGAGTATCGAATATTTTCCTGAGTATCGATATCGAGTTGAACATTTAAGTATCATGACAGCCCTGGCTGTTTTTCCTGACACTTTGAGACGGCCTCAAAACCGGACCGGCAGTGAGGCAGTCCCTGTTTTGTTTTGTTTTTAATGTTAATTAGCTGCTTCGCTCCTCAGTATTCGTTAGCTGCATGTGAGGTTAAACCGGTTTGACCCAGATCTGAACAAGGTAGAGACAGAGGACTGACAACTTTCCACGTTTCCCTCCACTAATTCTACTGTTTTCCTCCTAATTTAGAGTGAAGCTGTGTGATCAGCGTCCCTTATTTTAGCCAATACACATAGAATGATGGCCCTAAATCTGTGGGACAGGAAATAAAGTTTTACATCAGCTTCTGGTTGATCTGCTTCAGTCGTGTCCAGCTTTTATTCACTTTCCTGGTTACCAGCTTCTGCCTTTACGGCGGGGCCATCGTTTCAAACTCAGTGGTCACGCAAAGAGAGGCAAAGAGCTCCGGTCAAAGGCCCAGGATGTGGCCTTTTTATGCAGGCGCCTGTGTGAGTTATGTTTCCAGATATGTCACATTAAATCCTTGTGATGAACATAAAACATCCCTATAACCCAGTCACAGAAAAACAGATTTCAGTCCACTTTGTAGAAACATTGATAAATCAGGGCTGACAGCATACCGCAAAGGAAGGGAACGTCTGCAACCATGCTAGCTAGACTGTTAGCATATCCTGGTTTTATCCGTTTTTCTCTTCTACTTCAAACAATATAAGACTTTTTCCTCTCTTTGGGAAACAAACAGAACTCCAAATGCTTCCACCTTTAACGGCAGAGTTTCAGGTTTTGCAGATGTACCGTCTCCCGTTTGCAGGATCCTGTCAAAATCCACAGCCGACAACGTTCACGCGCACACAAACAAACACACAAACAAACACACAAACAAACAAACACACACACACACACAGTGCCTGCATGCGCACAAAAACGGGTACAATTCTGTTGAAAAGTTGAATAAGAAAAAGGTAGTACTTACTACAAAACTACTGTTAACTTTTTCTAAAATGCTTTTTTCGTTTAGTGCCATTGCTTCACCTTTTCTCTTCTTCACTCGTTTCTTTTCCAGCTTTTTACAGGCGTACATCTTACCGGTGGCACGTACTTGGCAGGCACAAACCTGGACAGAGGCAGAGGGGGAGGAAAAACACGGGTTAGGCACACAAACAGAGAAAGATGAACAAACAACAACAGCTTTTAAGTCTCTAACTAATGAAAGTTAACCCTACAATGCCGAATGTATCATATCTGATTCATACAGTTTCTGAAGTCTTTTGGATCTGAGACTTTTTGCATCATTCAGTGGTAAAAGCTTTGCTCAAACCCCTGTTGTACACATTCAGTAGAAGACTACACGAAAATATATTTTTGACTTATTGCACGCTAATTTAATCAAAATAATTTCTGTTTTTTTTTCTTCATATGTTGTTGAGGGGCCAAAGAAAGACTTCAGAATAAAAAAATCCAGTATTCTTCCTATTTTTCTTGGATCAGGCTTTAAAGGGTTAATGCATCCGGACAATGATTTCTCCCCCCAGAATAACTTCCCTATGCTACTTTTTTCTCTTTAAACAGTCAGCACCACATTGAACAGCTTTATCTGAGTCTTATTTGCAGCTTCATGCACACTCACCTCGCCAAATCCACCTTTTCCTAGTACTCTATAATGTCTGAAAGTATTTTTGGTTACTGGTTGCCTGCAGGGATGGAAAAAGGAATAAGAAACAGAGGGGGAGGGGGGAGAAGGGGAGACAAAGCAGAGAGGAGAATTCATGTAAGAAAGTTGATGTAATTCTCACAGAGCATGTGACGTTGCAGACATAGTAATGGTCCAATACATTATTAATCCAGCCTGATGACTACCATTTCCACCCTGCTCTGGTTTCCAGCCATTATGCGGAGCCTCATTAATTATTAACCCCTCACACAGACACACGGATTCGGAGCACCGCCTTTGTTTGTTTTGTTTAGTTTTTTTAAAGCAAACATGACTGCTTCTGCTCCTCAGCTGTAAATCCCACAGAGGTTTTTTCTCCCCTTTACCTTTAATATGGGTGTTTTTTTCTTTATGTATATCTGTAAAAACAAAGACGACGACCCACCTTTCCAACCATTTCCACTGCAGGAAGCGGGAGAAGTACATGGACTCCTGGTAGGAAGAAAACGGAGCTCCACTCAGATAATCACGAACTATTCTGGTGACAGGGAGGAGACAGAGGACAGAGAGGGGGGGGATCATTTCAGGCAAAGGAACAGAGCATTGCACGAATCGCTGGCCTGTGTCTCCTAAGCCTTTTTTAAACAAACACACAGACCTGAAAGACACCAACTTTGTGCATTACTGACAAACTTATTATGTTTATTCATTTAGCAGACGTTTTTATCCAGAGCGACTTACAAAGTAGACACAATTTTACAGTTATCAATATGACAATGAGTTCTCTAGAGGAAAATCCCCAGTCAGAGTCAGTGGTGGCAGCAAGAGAGAGAGAAGGAAGCTCAAAAAGAGGAGTAGAGGGTCCAGAGGTCTGAGGAAGAGTTTCTTTGAATAGGTGGGTCTTTAACAGTTTCCTAAAGATAGAAAGGGACGCTGCTGTTCTTGTAGCTCCTGGTAGGTCGTTCCTCCATCTTGGAACAACAAAAAGACAGAGGTAACACCGAGCCTCCATCAGGTCGGGGAAGCTGTTTCTGGTCGTCTGCTGGCCAAAAGTCAACTCTCACCCCACTGAGAGTTGTTGGAACATGGCTCTGACATGAGCCTGCCAGCCTCATATATTAACTTCCTGCTCCACCCGGCCGGCCACAGATGTTTGACTAGCGCACCGTGACCTTTTTCACACTCCCGTACCAACCAAACAGTCCCGATCTGAGCACAGGCGGGTTTACAGTCAGCTCAAGGCTCCCTGATAAAGGCCGATCCCGACACTGGGTCAGGCAGAGATTAAAGGACAACAGGCCGCCGTCCACGTGCCTCTCCTCCTCTGCCACACAAATGTTACAATCAAACTTTTTCTGAACCTTATTTAGCAGTTTTTTCATCACTAAGGAGGAGGACAGAAGACCAGTAACCCAGGTTTCCCCCCCCACTGGTTACTCGACCAAGTCTAAAGATTTCCTGATTATGGATGCTCATAACTCTCCCAAAAACATCAGAGGGACAGACTTTGTTTGTTAGGCCGATACACAACGACCCGCAAGCCCTTCAAAACGTAATCAAGAGGGATGAGCTAGTGTCCAGAAAAGAATCAAAAGAAGCCCTTTTACAAAAGAAAAACCCCCCAGTGGCTACAGCTCTGATGGAGGAATGAATCGTCCCCAGAACCCGGCCATTCTTTAATGATGAAGGTTTAGCCTTTTGCTTTTTTTAACAATCCACCTCAATGCATTTGTATTCATTGGATCCAGATATGATGGCATATTCAAATGCTTCCATCTTTAAGTGTGTTTTGTCCAGGGTATTATGCTGTGGCCCAACTATCAGTGTTTTTGTTTGTTTTTCGGGATCGTCGGACAAAGAACGGAGCAAAAGGTGGCAGCAGCCTCCAGAGAGGAGTTATGGGACGTCTTTAAAGGAGCCTGGAGACCAGGCCTGTCCCGATTCGATATCTGGATCCGTTCGGCAGCCGATATTTGCAAAAAAATCTGTATCGGCTGGCAGGAGAAAATGCAGATCCAGACTCCAGATCCAGTTTTTTTTTAAAGTCTGATCCCACACGAGCATTAGCATTAGCATCTGTAACCCACAGGTCTGTGTCCTAACCATTAAGTTGTTAGAGTAAATCCCTGTTCAAAATGAGTTTGACAACTAAGTAAGTAGATAAATAACTTTAAACTTTAACACATGCCGGGATAGGATCGGAAGTCCAAAAAGCTGGATCAAGACATCCCTCCGGGATTATTAAAGTATTCTGATTCTGAGACTCTTTAATGAAAGGACACTCAGCTGGTTGTGGAGGGTTCAAGCTTAGCCGGACAATAAAGGAGCTCAAACCAAACATTGATTTTAAGGCTTTTTTAAATGATTATCCTCTTTACATTTGCACATGTTCCCACAAACGGAGGCATCCACTTCCTGTTCTCCTGTCCAGATGAAAAAAAAACAAGAATAAATCAGGGACTGAACATCACAGTCAGACGAAATGATCCGTTTTTCCCCCAAAAAATAAATAAAAGGAGAAGAAAGCGCCCGGACTGAAGGGCCACACTGGAGTTATGACATAACAGCATGTTCCACTGCAGCATAAAAATATCCAACACTCGGCTGTTAGTGGGAGTCGGGCTCTGCCAGAAGTCACATTTCCACACGCAGCACCGTGCTTTCCTACGGGCTGCTAGCCTGAGTAGGGCTCGGGTCACAGAGGAATTCTGAGTAAATAATCCCGAAAATCAAAACTACACAACGGAATAAGGAGAAGAAAAAAGAAAAAAAAGACTGTGGGAGGAAGCAGCGATGACCAAACTTGGACAGGACTCTGTTCAGAGGCACGTGACGCTTTTGCTCTACCTAATACTTTCTTTCCATAGCCCCCCCCCACCCCAACTCTCCAAAAAACACATTTTTCTACCCCTTTATATCCAAGGTGGGATTTCCAGCTTTGGCCTTCTGAGGTGTCCAACTGGAGACGCATGCAGAGGGGACAGAAGCAAAGGGTAGATGACCCCTGACCCCTGACCCCCCCCACCTCCAGGGCACAAAACAACCCCACTAAATTGAACCCCTTCAGGCCCCAGCCGGCACCGTTGCCCACAGATCTGGCTTCTCGCAGCCACCAGGACCAGATAAAACACTTCCGACCCGTTACTGGTTCTAAAAAGTTCAGCAGCTTTCAGCAGCTCGCCATTCAGAATCAGGCTATTCTGAGTATTTAGGAATTATGTTTATGTTTATGCATTTGGCAGACGCTTTTTCCCAAAGCGACTTACAGAGTTATGGCGATTTCACTTGAGTTTTTCAATTCATAACTGACTCCTCATTAAAAGGCATTTCCTGGTTGAGAGCACGAGTGATCGGTTCCGACTTTATTCACGTCGCGAGAAGAAAAAGACAGCAGAGTATTCACACCGGTTCGACTATTTGCCTTAAAAAAATCTAATAAACACACAAGTGAAATCCCAGTTCAGTCCAGTCAGAAGTTAAAATTAAACAGGAATCAAAACGACTGTTTCTGTTCTCGTTAGCTGAAGCTTTCTAGGCTCCTTTACAGCCGCGAGGGTCCATTGATAAGTATTTGGATTCTAAACTTCCTCAAACTCTGAATGCGAGCTGAGACATTCGTGGTATTCCTGACGTACTTGACATGCAATCCAAATCAGTCTCCATTTCCTGGAACTAACATCTTGCGTCACCACGAAGACATCCAGCTTTGGAATCCCTCTAAAAGCCAGTCTGCTCACCGGAAAACTTAAAAAAAAGTCACAAAAACTAAAACACCTACTTGAGTGAAGAATGGATTCTTTGTCCAAACTGGCCTCTGAGCCATTCCTGCTTTGGCTTGTTTTGTGTTGCCCGGACTTGACATTTGAGCAAACAAAAAAAAACTTTTACGTCTGGTTTCCGTTTCGAGGCTTCGACACTGGGGTTTTACGAACGTTAATGATGACGGAGTT